GAATTATAAGAATATTTTGAAAAGGCACCTATATGTACAGAGTTTAGGATAGCAATGGCATTCCTTTACCACTTAAATATGCTTCTTCCTTAATTAAAAAAAAATCCTTTGGATAAATATAAAAGAAATGACTAAAAAATAACTCAAATGTTGGCATTCTTACTGTGTGCCACTGTTCAGTGCTTCACACAGTCTTTAATCTGCACAACAAGCTCCCAGGAGTGGGGCGTTCCCCCTACTTCACCGATGAGAAAAATCAAGATTAAAGAAGTATATGAAGAATAAAGAAACTCTTACTTGGTAATCATCTTTCAAGATACATAAATCAGATTGTAATGTTCTACAGCTAAAACTGATACAATATATGTCATTGTATCTCAATTTAAAGGAAACTCGTACAAATTGATTCAAAAAGTGTGTGGGGGGAGCCAACCCAAAAGAAAATGGCTGAAGGCAGAAATGATATACAAGAGATATTCGAAACCCCAGTAAGCATGTGACGAGATCGGCATTCCTCATGAAGGGAAATGCAAACGAAAATCACAGAGGCTCCTCCATACTCTAAAGTTCAGAATGGCTGCAAGTTAAGAGTTTGGAGGCCTGGAAGAAAACACTCCAGGTGACACCCTTAGCAGGAGCTGAGGCGCGAGCAGTGAGGAAGCCCCGACAAGGGTGAGCGGCTCAGCCTGGCTGGGCAGAGAGGCGCCCAGGAAAGCGTGCTGGGGAAGCAGTTAGGAGCCAGACCTGGAGCACCTGGAAGGCCAAGATAAGGACTTTAACCAGGAATATGTGACTGGCAAAGCAGGATATGAACGACGCAGTTGAGTTTTAGGGCACACAAAAGGCTGCTCTGTGTGAATGTTCCAAGGGGACACAGCAAAGAAAGCAAGAACTTTCTGTTCTCCACAATCTGTTTCACCCTCATGGCTCAACCACATTGGTCCAGAATCTCCAGCTGCACTTTCATCACCTTCCCTCACCACTGGGTGTTCCCGTTCAAGGTCACATGCAGCACTGAGCTCTCACTCAAGCACAGCCCGCTGCCTGCAACGCTCTTCCGCTTCCCCAGGCCACTCACCATTTCAGCCCAGGGCTGCGTGGAGGCCGGTGGGTGCCTGTCTGCCCCCAGCTCCGCCCCCCACCCCCGTCCCTGTGTGGGCTCCACACCACCAAGCTCAACCTCCAACGACAAACCACCTGGCTCTGTTCTCGACTCTCAGACAAGACGGTGACATTCCAGAACAGACGGAGAGAAGCGATCACGTTTCACGTTTGCACTCCCCACAGCACCTGGCGCCAAAGGGCCTACACTGTTACTTCCTCTCTGTAACAGAAAGGCAAACATACCCTGTAATCCAAGTTCCATTTCCAGACATTCACCCTGATGCACTCACATAAACATGTAGAAATAATGATCAGAGATAGGCGCCATTGTTCACACCAATAAAACTAGTTATAACCTAAGACTCTACTAAGAAAGACTAGTTCGTTCGGTCTGCGCTGACTATGCAGCAAAACGAAACTTGGGACACTCCACACATGGACCACGACGAAGCCGGCAGCAAGAGCAGTTGCAGAGATGGATGCACAGCAGGTCCCGTCTGACTTACACACTCACGCAACTCAGACAAGCACGGAGTTTTAGAGTGATAATCTGGTAACTTGGACAGACGCCTCGGTTCAGGGGCATTTCTATTTTGTTTGAAAAAAAATTTAACCAAGAGCACATACCATGTTGTTAGCAAAACTTATTTATATATTTTCACTCATCACCTCCCCAATTTTCATTTACGAAACAATTCATAATATGAATCCATTTTGTTTAAAACAAGAGTAACACTATGTGGGGTATATGTATCAAGAGTAAATATTTAGAACATATGCCAACTTTTAATAATGGTTATTTCTACAAGAGGAATTACAGGGAACTTTTACATGCTAGGTTAGTTGTTTTTCTTTTTTAAAAATAAGTATTTACTTACAAAAGCAAAGCACATTTTTTTTAAATCTCTCTCTCTGAGGGAGTGATCATCCCAAAGAGCATTTGGCCTAAAACTTGTTAATCTGAAGAGGACACGTTTCATTTGAATTGTTGGGTTGCCCAGGACACCAAATCTGGGAAAGCAGTACAGGTAAATCAGACCCACAGAAGAGGTGCACAGGCGTCATTAACAGAAACACTACATCTCCGCTAGGTAAGTACTAAATGTCTGTTTATGGAGGGGATTCCTCTGTACAGTTCGCCTCAAACATTTACTGAATTACTATCAATATAAAGGGCCAACTACTGCACGGGCACCTCAGGATACACTGCTGTTTTTAACTATCTCTTCAGTGTCTGGAGTCAACCATTAATTAATTTCCTGGGCCCCTCGCTTCAGGGCCAGGGCCTGAGATGAGACACATGTGTGTATGTGTATATGTGTATGTATATATTTGCTCTTAGGGACGAGAGAAAAGGATAACGACCACTAAGTCCCGCAGACACCCCCCGCCCCCCAGGGAGTGCTGGTCTGTCTCGGTGGGTCTGTGCTTCCAGCAGGACATCACGGTTGCTACAGGTCCCTCTAGGCCCCACTCCAGTTTGCAGCTTACAAACATCTATCTGCCTTAGGAGTCAAGGCCTCCTCCGGCAAGCCCTTGAAGGAAAGCAGAAGGCGCACAACTGCCCGAGTCTCTCCTGCAGGCTACGGCTCCAACCCTCCTCCACCCTCAGCCCTGACCCGGACCCAACCGCCTTTCTACTTTCTCCTTAGTCTCGCAGCTGAATTTAATAGCTTATCACTATGGGTGCTGATTTACTTGCATTACAACTCATTAAGACTGCCCTCACAATAACCCTGCCAACCATGCCTGTTACACAGGAAAAAACCAAAACATAGTTGATTCCAGGATCTGTATCTATGGGTTCAAGCAACTGCAGGTCACAAGAACTCAGGAAACAAAAAGTTACATTGTTGTGTTAGAATTGACCATGTAGTCTTTTTTTTTCCTTGTCGTTATTTCCTAAAAAATACAGAATAACCACTATGTATATTGCATTAACTATTATAAGTAATCTAGAGCTGATTTAAAGTACGGGGAAGGTGTGCATAGGTTATATGCAAATACTACACCATTTTATGTAGGGGACTTGACTTCAGTATCTGCAGGGTTGGGGGCGGGGGGAAGACTGTTCTGGGGCCAATCTCTCCCAGACAGGAGGCCTCGCAGCTAAAAATGGGTAACTATTAAGTGGCAAAGCGAAGATTTAAACCCAGGGGTCCTGATTCCTAGATCCCAGCTTTAATACGCAGTCCTCATGTCCGTACTGTACACTTCTTTTGACCTAGAAAACACCAGAAATCTCCACTCAGCACAGCACCTGGGTTTGAGTAACAAAGCTGAGACTCCAGCACACCTGGGTTCAATGCTTACTCTTGGAAATGCTGTTGGCCAGGCCAACACTGAGTAACTAAGCATGAAGACATTTAATTTGCAAAATGTTTATGTTTGCCAAACCTTAACTTTTGAAAAGCTGTTTCATGTATAAACACTCCCCCACAACAAGCCTATCTAGGTTCAGATTCCAGTCTGCTGTTTCCTGCACCTGTAAATAAGATGTAAAGGGATATGAGCACAGGGAATCCCTGCAGAGTGAGGAGCCCGGGTCCCCTACTATTGTTTTTCTTAACCTTTGAGGGCTTTACTCTCACTTCTCCCAGGATGCAGAAAAGCCGACAAGTTCACACCAAATTCAATACCTTCAAAATCAGTGATTTTTAATCCGTGTGCCGCAAGAATTTGTAAAACCTGACTAGTCTCGGGAATCGACCTCTTTACCCTCAGACTGTCAAATGAACAAATGACAACAGCCAACATGACAATAGCCATCTGGCATGGATGAATCAAAACCATACCTTTTTTTTGTCAGATCAGCAAAAAAATATTTTCTGGTGTGCCTCGGAATTTTAGTAATTAGTTTATGTGTGCCATGAGATGAAAGAGGTTGAACATCACTGCCTTAAAAAACAAAACAAAACATGAATTTATGTACAGAGTCAGCAGAAGTAACGCCTGCTTGAGTACAGTTGGTAGGGTAATAATCTGGGTCTAATAACTTAGTTTTAATGTGAACATTTCACCTAAAATGTCATATAGTGTGCTAGAGTATGACCCTATTGTTACAGAATTACATGCTTATGGTTTTGTTATAAAAGATTTTGTGATTAAAAAGGGGCGTTATTTGTGCCAGACCTGGTAAGTTACAGAAAAAAAAATTAAATATTACAAAATGACACACTATACTTGAATTATGAAACTGATAAACTAGAGAAGTTCTATACAACACAAAAAAACTGGTAGATAAAGATATTTCATCATCGCTTCTTGGCCTTTTGGCTAAGATCAAGTGTAAAAGATACTTCATGTGCAAAATTATGACACAAGTCAATTACTACACTGAGAATAAATGCCACTGATAATTAGCCTCATAACACATTCCTTCCACCTATTTCCACGTGAATTACGATCATGTGAAACTTTAAAGTAACAAAAATCCTTAAGTGCCCGTGATAGCTTTAAAACATTTTATAGAGCCACTTAGTAATCTTTTATTGGATAATCTCAGGCACTTCGCAGAATGGACAGGCAATAACTGACTGATCTTTACACCTTTGATGTCTAAAGTTCTGCTGTGTTAGAGATTAGTTCACAGTTGTTAAGAGGCCTCACAGTGAACGTTACAAGTAGCTCTTAACGCTTCTCCAGGTGGAATGCATACAAGGTATCAAGCCGTTTAGCCCTCACTCCGACTCTGCAGGACAAGGACCGGGAATCTGAGGCGCGGCAGGTTAAACAATAAGCCTAAGGGTGCACAGATAAATCAAAGGCGGACTGGAAGCGGTGCCGGGTCCAGCTATGAGTCCAGGTTTGGTTTCTTTGGGTTTTTTTTAACCCCCTCTGGACTCTGGGCCAGAGCCCATCCATGACACCGGAAAACGTGGAAAAACATACAGTACCAGTGGGAAGCAGGGGTTCCAACGGGGTAAAGGCATGCTCCATATCGGATTATTGGCCTCTGCGTTAAAAAAAAATAAAGATGCCACGTTAGCATTTCTAGCTAGGCAGCACGCGAAATTCTCGGGACATTTGGCCGCTTTAATCGCGCGCCCCGGGTGGCGTGCCCCCGGCGGGCTGCCCGGGTTTCGCCGAGGACGACGCGCGGGGACCGCCGGAGACGCAGGAGCCCGGTGCGCGCGGGTGTCCTGGGCGGTTGGGGCACCACACGGGGGCACAGCGAGCGCCTCTACGCGGTCACCCCGTCCAGTCCCTCCCTCCCGGCGCCTCCGTCACCACCCGGGAACGAGACCAGCGGGGGGCGCCCGCCCCCTCCCCATTCCCGAGGCCGCGCGCCGAGAACGCGAGACGAGCGGAGCAGCCGCCGCACTTACACAATGGCGGGTGGAGCCACCAGCAACGGAGCGCGCGCAGCGGGAGCGAGGGCATCGACCGCTCGGCGAGCGGCTGAGGAGCCTGCGGCGGCGCGCGGCCGGCGCTCGCCGGCTTAAGTACTGGGAGCGCGAGGAGGCCCCGCCCTTTCCGGCGAGGCGCGCGCCCTGCCCGAACCGCGCGTGCGCGGCGCTGTGGGCGACCCAAGGCCTGTCGCCTACTTTGGGTAGCGCAGTCTCGTCTCTGTCCGTCGTAATTTTTGTTTTGTTGTATTTTTTTTAATTTGCAAGAAACGTGAAGCCACCTACTGGCAGTTGCACTCGCTCCAACACGGCCTAGGTGAAGAGGCTGTTCTGTTGCCAGGCAACCTTTTTTTTTTTTTTTTACAAGACTGAACAAGCTTCATCTCCAGGAAAGTTCTGTTTAGGCAAAAATCCCTTCCTTGTACCTGCTGTCGCCGTACCGCCACCCACGGGACCCCCACCTATTGGAGGGAGCCCCTGGTCCTCGGAATCATCTTTGAACACAGTTATGTTCCTAGGCTTCAACTTCTCAGCTAAATAAAATTTGCACAAGGTTCTTACATGGCAGGGTGTTCAGATGCTAGTACTGTGGCCCCCACCCTCAGAATGTAATGTTGCTTACAAATCATTTTCCCTAGGGCCGGTCAGACCTGCACAGCTCTCCGCACCTAAGGACGCATGCAAATCCCTGCACTAAGGGACCTGATGAGCGTGGCTTCCAGGCGCAGTAAGTGTCCCCGGGATGACCACCCCCCCGCGCCCCCGCCCAACTCACGCCCATTAAAATGCCTGACTGAGACAGCGCCAGCTGCCAGGAGAAATTAGTCTTTAGTCAACACCTGTTGGCAGGCCCCTGACCTCCCAAATGGTTCAAGATCGTGACTGTGTATCTCTAACAACTCAGAAGGGGCCGCACTCAAGGACCAGAGTGCACTCCTTTGAAGTGTGACCGTGGGGAAGGAAGGGGCCTGTGTCTGCTAGTCTCTGTGGGAGAATAGAATCACTTTCACAGGTGCCAGCTGGCAAAGAGCTGGCCTCATCGCATTTGCACTGACCAACTGTTTGTCATTTTTAACTTGCCTTGACTCGACTAGAATCCTCCCCCCATCTATCCTCTCCCTTATTCTCCCTTTAAAACGTCCAAATCACCTCTGCACAAATGGAAATGGAGCTCAGTTCTTTCCCCTACTGTCAGCAGTTACTAAATAAACTGTGTTCTCTGCTTTAATAGCCGGCTGTGTTTTTAGCCTTGACACTGGTGACCATATCCAAGGAGTGTCCCAATTGTAAAGAGTCACCAGCGCTCATTACCTTTTTTAGCAGTCAGATCGAATAGAACTTCCAAGCATTTTTCACTGTTAAGTCAAGTATGTAGATATCTCAGACTCAACCGAGACCCAACTACCGGGACTATAAATTTACATTTCCTAAGTGAAATATTATGAGTTAGTGCTCATGGTGGCAGCAGGCTGTTTCAACCATGTCACCTACCGCTTGTGGGACACTGAGACTCCACTTCAGTATCCTCAGGTGTAAGATGGGAACACTGGTGCCAGCTTTGGAAGGGCTCACTCAGCAAAGATCAACCTGGCCAGGTGCCTACCGCAGACGGGTCTGCAACAAACGTCCCTCTCCATCATTTTGGTGCCCCAGACTTGCTGGTGTCACTGTTCATATCTGCAGCACACATCGCTGCAAAGTGTTTTATGTGTGCATAGATCAGGTTTCTCCCAAAGTCATGAAGGAAATTGAAGTCTTTAACGACAATGAATTCCAGAGGAGTCCACATGTTTGAAAATGCTATTAGTGAAACTAAAAGGCAGCCAACTGGAGGTGGAGGGAGAATATTTGCAAACACATGTACCAGACAGGTGTTTGCTAGGTTTATGTCATGTGAAGAACTGCAAATCCATCAGTAAAAGGCAAACAAACTAGTAAAATGGTGACCGAGGATGTACACAAGCAAATCAAATTGCAACATACATTCAAATGGCAAATAAACAGATGAAAAACACACCATCACTAGCATGCAGAGAAGCAGGTTTGAACAATGAGATAAATGTACTTGCCAGCTTGCAAGCCATTTTTCAGTAATAATACAAACTTAAATTAATCAAGCAATAATTATGTTTCAGGCACTGTGTTAAGGTCTTTTACGTTTTACTTAATTACCCTAAAATATAGGTTCTGAGAGAACAAACACCAAATTTTAATTGTTTACCTTTGAAGCTTCGCTCTCTAGCACAGGTGCTATAAACAGCAAGCAACCCGTGAGTACTTATTGACTATTAATGATGAAGTTGGTTGCAAAAGCCCGGAATGGTAACTTCCTCAGTTCTCACAGCTGGCTCCTCTGTCAGATCTCAGCACAAAACTGACTTCCCCCCTACGGTTACTCTGTGTCTCACTCCTTGTCTCACCGAGGACTGTCTGCCTGTGTTCCTGCATGGAAACACTCCCAAGCTGTGGTATTAACTTAGCCCTTCACTTGCTTCTGAGTTGTGCCCACCACTGGAGTCCAGGCCTCGTAGGAACAGGAACACACCTGTTTTTGTTCATTGCCATTGCTCCAGCCAAATAGGATACTTCACTCATGGCTGGGGTTCAATAAATATTTAACTGGATTACTAAATGGTGGGGGGAAATGGCAATGTATAGATCGTATCAGGCAATGTATAGATCCCCTCACAATTATTTAAAAGATTAAGCTACTCAGTATGTCCTCATGTGAAAAATGCCCAGGATGTAGTAAATTTTATAAATGCAAGCGGTAGAATACTCCACTTATATATATTTTAATATGTTTAGGTATCTCTAGAGGGAATTGGTAACACTGACCTCTGAGAAAAAGAGATGGAATGTGCAGGAGGCCCCGTGGGCCAAGGGAAACATTACTTTTCGTTTCCTACACTCTTGTGTTGTGTTACCTCAATATTTTTGCAATAGGCATATTAAAGAAGTTTGTAAAAAAGCAAGTTCAAGCATCCTGCATCCTTAGTGCTAATCCTTGGCATATTTGGGGTGAGGTGGGGGGCTTCTAGAGAAGATAGTACACCCACAGACGTAGTACGATCCCCAGAGGAGAGAATCCATGGCTTCAGCCAAATTTCCAATGCAGTCTACGACCCCAAATCTCCGTGCGGTAGTAGATCTCCCTGCTAGTAGATTATGTGGTTTCCCCCGAGATACAAAGGTGGCTGTCCCATCTCCTTCACCAGTTACCCTCCACTCTGCCCCATTTCCTTGACCTGGTGGAGATCAAAATATAGGGCATGTTGTCACAAAAGATTCTATGTAAAATTTTCCTGCAGTGAAATAAGTTTCAAAAGTCTGCATTCTATCTCCTACCCCCTTATAGATTATCTTTAAACATCTCCTGAGGGTCAGAAGTAAGGACACTCTCTACATCGAAACCCAGAACTTCTCAAAGACATCGGAGCATGTAACACAGGAGATTCTTTTAGAGGTGGTGTCGGGTTGTTGTTGGTTTTTTGTTTGTTTGGGGGGGGGCACATCTGAAACTGAGAAACTGACCCGCAAGTCCACCTCCCTGCCACCAGAAAAGCCAAACTGGTGAAGCAGGTTCTGGTTGAGAAGGAAAGGGGTTTACTGAGGAGTCCACAGCCTGAGAAGACAGCAGGCTCCTGGCTCCAAAGCCACCCTGGCATCTCCGGCGTCCTGGCTGGGTTACACATGGGGAACTATGGCAAGACCCGAGCAAAGGGATAGCTGGCGATGCAGTTTCTCAGCTCTCTTCCCCGGTGGCCTCAGCGTTATCTCTGGCTGGGTCATCCTGTAGTTCCATTGCTTCGCCTCCAGCTTCACTGCTCAGGTTCAGGAGCAGGACCTGCAGGTAGAGAATCCGCTGGTTCCCACACAAGTCAAAGATGCTCGTCCAGGTCTCGGCATCACAGTTGTCCCCTGGTCCTGCGGGCACTGCCACTGCTGAGGTCTACAACTTACTCATAAGAAATTTTAGTGCCTGATTTTTTGAGTTTGTGAGTACAACCTATTCTATACTTACTACTTGATTAGTGTATTAGGATATTTTTCAACCACTACTACACATCGTTTAAAGTTTTGCACAGCAGTGTTGGCCCACACAACCGCTGGGGGAAAGTTACCGGCGCCAACTCCCCTTTGCTGCAACAGCTGTGTCCCTACCGCCGCCCCCACGCCTCCTGGAGTCTCCGGTCTTCGTCCTTGGCCCGTCTCCTTCCCCACTGTTGTCGGAAGCTCACATCATTCTCTCACCTCCAAGCGCACATCCACCCTGATCGCACCTTAACAGCGGAAGCAGTAATTCTAGCCCCTTTTAGGATCTCTCTCCGCCTAAATATTTCACCGCTCCCTCTGATTCAAGCGGCCAAAACTGAAACCACTCATTTATTCTTCTTCCTAGAGTCTCCGTGTCTCTCCTTGGTGTCACTACTATTCCTCCGCATTCCTTGATACATAACTTCAGTTTGCCTTTTCTTTCTCTCCATAAACTCAACAAATCGTCTGCTTTCATTGTATCGATCACTTGCTCTAGCCTGCTGAGGTCAACCTGGGTCAAGATTCTATCAACTTTGTCATTTCCTCTCACCCATCAATCACAGTGCTCCTTATTTAGAAGCCTGTCTAAAATGTCATCTTCACTGGAAAGTCTTTGCTGAGAGTCACCCAGGCCCCTCACAATTAATCTCCTTTTGCTCTGTAACCACATTGTATCTTTTAATAGCACTTTCCACAGTCTGACACCCAGAAGTCCTTCCTCTTTTCCTGGAACATGTTCCAAGGCCTCCAGAAACCGAGAATAGTACCAACTGCTATACATACACTCCACATACATACATACATATATACATGCCTGTGAGGAAGTTTATAAATGAGGCACAGTAAGAGGTGGACAACAGTGAATAATAAAATAGAGCAGTTATCACAATACACTAATAAAAGTTGTGTGGTTGAGGACCTGACTATTACAGAGACAATTTTATTCAGGCTGTAGAATCAAGAGCACACCCTGGATGCTAAGGTCCGAGGGTCCCCACAGTGTGGTCTGCATGTTTACAGGGAGGT